CTAAGCCCAAAACGTCAGCCTTCCTGCTCCTCTGATGCTGCTTGGCCTGCTGTGTTCATCCAGCTCTACAAGTTGTTATCTCATAATCCCTAAGGTGACAGCCAGGGTAGTGCAGAGGGAGCATTGCACTGTTAGAGGTGCCCTGTTTCGAAAAGGACATTAAAATATGGCCCTGTTTTCTGTCTTGGTGGAATGTGAGATTTCCAAAGATGAGATAAGATTTCTTCCCAGTGTCCAAGTTAACATGTATCCATAACTTTTTATCACTACTGTAGAAGTGTCTTGTGCTCTCAGGGCTAATGCTGAGGAATGCATTAAGCAAAGCCAAAGATGATGACATCATGTGGACTTTGGAGGCAAAATGACTTGGGATCTTTAAGAAATATGGTCTCCAATCAAGGTCTCCCCCATTGTTTTGTCATAGTATCTATTATATCAATATAACTTGTACTTAGTTGCTGTCATGCAATAAACAACTTCTTGTTTAAGACAAAAGTCTTTTCTCATTTTAATATCAATTGGTTTTCCTTGACCACACTCGACCAAGCAGGCCCCGTAGATCCCTACCAGGAAAGAGGATCTATCTGATGGATTTTACACCAAGATGAGCTGTGATGAGGACAGATCATACAACATTCACAACAAAGCAGATTGTGTTGGTCATTATCACACTGGTTGTAGGATCTTGCCATAAGCAAACTTGCTCCTATGATTCACACCCTACAAAAATGAATTCCTGGCATTGGCTATGAAGCACTTAGGGAAGTACTGAGATCATGCAAGATGCTATTGTTGTAAAGTGACATCCCTTTAAAATTGAATATTTATCCTGTTACAGCAATCACTTCCCTTCCCAACTGGAAACAATTTCTCAAACAAGAAATAAAAGTTAAGAATAAGGGTTAAGAAGATTACCAGGCCACTGATGTCTGTAGCCCCAAGTTGTTTAGGAAAAAAAAAACAGAAGAGTTTATTCTTAGGAAAAATGAAAACTAATCTTATGATAGAAGTGGGCAAGTAGGAGTGATGGTTATTCAGACATCATGAATAGTTGTCTTGTGCCATTAGCTAAGAAGGATTCGGATAAATGATTGACACAACATGGATCACCAGTCTTAAAAATAGGGTATGTTAATAAATGCTCAGAGTCAAAGAGGGTGCCTTTGTTAGGAGGCAGACAAAAGGCTTCACATGGAAGATGGATCAGAAGAGCCTAATGGAAGGCCCAGGAAAGCATTCAATTCTGCTGGAGAACAAGATGCTGCCTTCACAACTTTCATGAAATTGACATACTCAATGTCAACTGTTTGTTCATCATCTGGTATCAAGTGAATTATCCTCAATCGTACGTACTAGCAATGTATCACATCTAATCTGCTGCTTCTTACCAAACAACAACTATCTGAAGATTCTTTACAAATGATCAACTGCCTGTGTTAGGTAAACTTTTCTTAAACCTATGAAAATATATGTACTAATGGTACTTTGTGCTTCTGGATGTATTTTAGTTAACGTCTTTCAGACAAGTTAATTCTGTTGTTAATTTTGTTTGCTCAGTAGGTTAGATCAGTATTTGTAATTTCCTGTTTCCTGTCATCAAAGGGTTATGGAATAAGGTTGGAAGAGACTGTGCTTAACACTTGGTCACAGCCACAATTAAGGGTGGTGGTTCCTCTCCGCAGGCTTTTTTGTTTTATTTGGAAAGTTAGAGATGAACAAATGGAGAATTCTGATACTGGTTGCCTTGAGCCAGATGTTTCTAGCACTGACTCAAACTTCAATTGATGTTAAGGGTAAGTTAATCTAGTTTTTGATTGTACAGATCAAGGAATCCACATTGTCAAGTTAAATTAATGAGTTTTCTTGTGATCTCTATTTTGTACTTGTGCAGAGAGTGAACCTCTTTTTTGCATTTACAGGTTATTTACATTTACAGTTATTACAAATGTTGCATATTATTTAATCACCTGACTTTTTTAATGGAACTGAGATACATTTCCAGCTAATGAAACATTACAAAACTTTAGGCAAATACATGAAATCTCTAAGCCATAGAATAAGACAAGAGATTAAAGTTTAAGTAGAGTGATCTTTAAAGTTCGTTTAAAGGGGTGCGTAGAGTGAGAGAGAGCCTTGATCAATTTGTAACCAAACTCTCAAGGATTATAAGTTCGAGCAGAAATGTAAAGATGAGATTATAAGAAAGTTGAGAGTAATAAAAGCCTATTCGGCAGCAATTTGGAGATAATTTTGAAGAGATTTGTTGACAACAAGAATGCAGATTTGTAGATGGCAAGAAGTCTTTCAGCTATCTCGGGAAAAGGTCGAGCTGTTAAGGTCAGGATAAACCATTGAATGGAATGTGGGTATAAATATTAAGGAGAATGTAGAAATAGCATGGTCCAGAAACAATGTATTCCAATGTATCTTCACTAGCTCCAAAGCTAGTGCCACTGCCTGTCTCTATCACCTGTTGTACCCATAGCCTCTTGCAGTTTTTGTCCTGTTCCAACTACAACAATGGTCTTAATAGATATTTTCTGAATCAACCTGTCCTGAGATGTTATTTCACAATACTAGAACGGGGGGGACTTGAACCCAAGCTACACTTCCTCTCCCCCGCAACAGCTCTTGGTTTCTGTTCATGTCCAGATGTCCAAATATATTTCACATGTTTCTAAACAAATGTTCATCCTTAGCCATGTAAGAAATAATTCAGACAGGTGGTGAAAAGCTTGGCCAGAGAAATAAGTTTTGAGCAACATTTTAAAGGAGAAGAGAAAAATATAGAGTGATGGAACGGTTTAGGAAGTGTTAGAGCTTAGAGTTTTGCAGCAAAATGTATGACAATCAATGAAGGAGCATTTAAAAATTGGGAAGTTCACAAAGGCAGAATTGGAAAATTGCAGAAACCATGGAGGTTTGTGGAGCTGAAGGAGATTACAGAGACAGTGAGGGCGGTGCCATGGGTAGATTTAACAAACAAGAATCATAAAGGATTGTGAGGTTAAGGAATGCATTATCTGAATTACTGACTGAATTATCCAACATTCACAGACTGATTAGACAGTTAATTGGTGATTTAGTAGAGGTGTTCAAAATCATTAAAGATTTTATTAGAGAAAAGAGGGAGAACCTGACTCCATGGTAGGAGGAATCAGATATCACAGATTTAAGATAACTGTCATGCCAACCAGAGGTGACATTTACATGCAACAAGTTGTTGTGATCTAACAGGAGCTGCCTGACATGGCAATGGAAACAAATTCAACAGTAACTTTCAGAAGTCAATTAGATAAATACTTAAAGAGAAAAAACTGCAGGGCGAGGAGAGAAAGAGCAGTGGAATGGGCCCATTTTAGATATCTCTTTCAAAGAAGTATGTAAAGATACAGAGAATAAACTCCCTGTTAGGTGTGAAACCAAAGCAGAAATTGCTGGCAAAATTCAACAGGTCTGGCAGCATCTTTAAGAAGAAAGCAAAGTTAATGTTTTGAATACAATGGCCCTTCATCAGAACTCTCAGTAAAAATGTTACCTGTGAGGAAGTACTGGAATGCAGGTTCCAGGTCCAGAGGATTGTGAATCCAGAAATGGAGAGTAATACAGCAGAACGGCAGTAGTCATTAATTTGATTTGATTTGGGCAATCTCAGCAATACCTCTTGAGAGGGTGTTTCAGGCCAGATTGGCAGAAGTGAAGAATGGTGTTCCCCTGTGAAGTCTAATGAGATCTGATGACTCACCATTTCATGAATATCAAGGGAGTTCCTGGTAAATCCATGAAATCTGTTTTGATTATTTTCTTTTTATTCATTCACAGGAATGTGGATTAATTTACTGCCCATCTCTAGCTTACATTCACAATGTAGTGGTCAGCTATCTCCAATGCTACAGATAGACCAATAATACCATTAGGGAGAAAGATTCAGGATTTTGACTCAATGACATTGAAAGAATGCCAACATATTCCCAAATCCAGATGTGAGTGGCTTGGAGGGGAACTTGCAGGTAGTGGTGTTCCCATGTAACTACTGCCTTTGTCCTTCTGTATGGTAATGGTCACGAGTTTGCTTAGGAGCCTTGGGGCAATTCTGCAGTGCATCTTGCTGATGGTATTCATGGCTGCTACTGAGCATTGGCAGTGGAGGGAGTGGATGTTCATGGATGTGTTGTTAATTAAGCAGGCTGCTTTGTCCTGGATGGTATTAAGCTTCTTGCATGTTATTGGTGTTCCATTCATCCAGGCAAGTGGGTAGTTTTCAATCCTATGCCTAATTTGTGCCTGATAGATGATGAACAGGTATTGGGGAGTCAGGAAGTGAGTTACTCGCTTCAGTATTCCTAGGCTGTGACCTGATCTTGTAACCACTGAGTCCAGTTGAGCTTCGAATCAATGGTAACCCCCAGGATGTTGATAGTGGGGGAGTCAGTGATGGTAACACCATTGAATATCAAGAGGAGGTGGTCAGATCTCTTGTAGGAGATGGTCATTGCCTGGCACTTGCGAGGGCCAATGTTACTTGATGTGTGTAAGCTAAGGGTTTATGAGTTGCTTGGCTAGTCTGTGAGACATTCTCCCAATTTTGTCACTAGCCCCCAGATATTGTTAAGGAGGACTTTGCTGGTTGCTAGCTTCCATCATATTGTGTGGCACTAATACCATGCAAACTAAGATAGACTCTAGCAACTCAAGACCTGGCATCCATGAGGCGCTGGCAGCTGAGTTTGCTGTTGTCATTTTCTGGTGCTTTTGTCAATGTCAAATGGTCTGTCCAGTTTCATCCTTTTCTAGTAGTTGATATATCTGCATGGTTTGCTCAGTAATATCAGAGGGTAACTAAGAGTCAACCACATTGCTGTATAGATTACATCAGGTAAGAATGGCAGTTTCCTTCCCTAAAGGGCATTAGTGAGTCAGATGGGTTTTTACAACAATTGTTAGACTTTTAATTCCAGATAATTATTGAATTCAAATTCCACCATCTGTTGTGGACCTGTCAGTTCTGGGTGTTAGAAATAAGTTGTTTTCTAGATTGTGTTGCTCTCATCTTTGGTCCTCTGAGACTGTGGTGACTTTACCTTACTGTTCTCACTTGTATGATAAAGTAATGTTTTTTGTTCAAAACTGTGGAATTTTGTGGCTTTATTCTGTTCGTAAATACCCTTACAAACGTTTTGTCTACTTTTAAAAAAGAAAGGCTGTTGTTCTGTAACTAGATGATAGCATTGTTTAGTAGTCTCACTTGCAATCGTAACATAAAGTTGACAATCGAGTCTGAGATCATTATGTAATGGTCATAATAATAGCTATTATAATAATACAGACTTGATGTGTCAAGTGGCCTCTTTCTATGGCTCAAGGTTCTATGGGCAGAATATTCTGGATTCTCTGTTGATGAACTGGAAGGCAAGAAGGGTAATTAGTTAGATGGGATGGTGGTGTACTTGAACCCCAGTCCCGTGCCACCTTCCCCAGCATCAGATTTTGAGTGGGAAGGCCTATGGTCAAGCTCAAGTGGCCAATTAATTATCTCTTAAGGGCCTTATTTCACTATCACTGGTGTTAGGCCAGCTGCAGATGGGTCTTTGCCATGCAGGATGGATAGCAGCTAAAACAGCTTTCCACCTCCAGGGTGTGGGATAGGACAGGGGTGGGAGACGAGTTGGGGTGCTCCTTGATCAAAGGCAATCAGTGCCTGATAAGAGACTGAACATCGGCAGGGGTGGGGCGGGGTGCGATTCCTGCTGACAGTCAACAATGTCCCTCCCTCATTCCTGACCCAAGTCAGGAAACCCCACCCTTAATCCACACCCCCTCCCACATCAGTTATCTTTGACCTGGGTTGTTCAGCAATCCTGGGACTCCCCCGAGTATGGCTACAGCCTCCGCAGTGGCATTGATAAGCACAGGAGCTGCTGCCCCCTGCAATTCTAAATGGAGAGAGCATCCGCTCATGGGTTTTGATTTCAGGGGAAGACCCAAACTGACCTTACCACTGCCAGACTGACTTGTGGTGCAGCTGGTGACAGGTAACACACAGGTCTCTCACACAGTCATAGAATCAAACAGCATGGAAACAGACCCTTCAGTCCAATCAGTCCAGACCAACCACATTCCCAAATTAAACTAGTCCCACCTGCCTCCACTTGGCCCATATCCCTCCAAACCTTTCCTATTCAAGTACTTAACCAAATGTCTTTTAACTGTTGAAACTGTACCCGCATCCACCACTTGCTCTGCAGTTCATTCCACACATGAACCACTCTCTGTGTAAAACAAGTTGCCCCCCCACCGTGTCCTTTTCAATTCTTTCTCTTCTCATCTTAAAAATATGGCCCCTGCCCCTCTTGATTTTATAAACCTCAATAAGGTCACCCCTCAACTTCCTACACTCCAGTGAAACATGTCCCAGCCTATCCAGTCTATCTAAGCCAGCAGAGGAAAGTCTTGTTAGGTTGACAAGATTCCACCCTATGATTCAACAAGAGAAATGGTTACAAAGTGGGTAGTGACTTGTGAATACTGTCCCCATTTAGGATAGACAGACTGAATGGGTCGAATGGCATTTTCTATGCTGTAATTCCATGAAAGTGCATGAAACTGAGAGGAGCTTCAGGAAGTTAAAAAACATGTAGAAAACACAAGGGGTTGGATTTTGCTTATTTTCGCTAAGTGTGAGTTGTGTTGTTTTTTATTGGAGGGATCTAGGACCCCTGCTGATCAGAGTGGTGCATACACAGGATGTCCTCTTCCCTAGGACCAGCAGAGCAAGCCATGACTCCAGGCTATG